GTGCATATCGACGTTCGGTCTCTGTCATAAGCCTTGACGCGTAGGCAATTACCTTGAACCGTTGTCCCACCTTCTGGCGCAAGACAGCACCTAGTCCGTATGCTGATGCGTCTGCACTTACAACGGTTTCTTGCATGGGATCGTAGATACCCAAAACTGGGTCTGAAGAAAGCATAGCTTTCCACTGGTCAAATGCAAGCTGTTGGGGTTGGTTCCACACAAAGTCATGTTTTGTGCTTAACATCGATGACAGTGGTTCCAAGACCTGTGCACCATTGGGGACAAAACGTGCAAGATACGTAGCCATTCCCATGATGCGGCGTAACTCCTTTTTTGATGTGGGACTTGGCATCTGCAGAATAGCAGACAGCTTTGCTGGATCCGGACGAACCAGATTGTTCTCGATCAGGTGTCCTAAAAAGGAAATCTTCGTAACGCTGAAGAGACATTTCTCTTTGTTTAGCGTGATCCCAGCTTGAGTGAGGCGCTCCAGTACTGTTCTTAGACGACCATCGTGTTGATCTTGTGTAACCCCCAGATTAGGACGTCGTCCATATGGCATGCAACTCCTTCTAGTCCTAAAAGAACATCGGCCATCCTCCTTTGAAAATGTTCTGGCGCCGAAGAAATTCCAAACGGCAGCCTGTTAAAACAGAACCTGCCAAAAGGTGTTATAAAGGTCGTCAGGGTTTTACTGTCCTCGTTTAAAGGTATTTGCCAAAACCCTGAGTTGGCGTCAATCTTCGAGAAAACGGTTGCTTTCTGGAGCATTCCCAAAGTGTGTTCTACAGATGGAATCGGATGCCATTCCCTCTGGACGTACTTGTTCAGTTGCGTAAAGTCAACGCAGATACGTATGACTTCTGAGGGCTTAGGAACCACTACCATCGGTGCACACCACGCCACTGGTTCTGTCACTGGTGAAATTACTCCGAGTTGTTGCATCCTCTCCAGCTCCATCTTTGTCTTGTTGAAAAGAGGCAGGGGCACTCTGCGAGGCGATGTCAGGGCAAAGGCCGTTGCATCAGGTGCTAGCTTTATCTCGTAGTCTCCTTTCATAGTGCCGAGCCCTTCAAAAAGACAGGGAAACTCCTCCTCGGGGCAGAGGCTCCGCACCTGGCAAATCTCTGGGAGAACCTTGATCTTTTCTATAGCTGGCCTTCCAAGAAGCGGTGTTTTGAGGCCTCGGAGGACGTAAACTTCCTCTTCGTTCGTGTAGTTTTTGAATGAGAGGTTCAGGTTTACGACGCCCAAGACGTGAAGTCGTCTTCCGTCGGGTCCCTGAAGCTGGCGCCTCGGCGGGTTTAGAGTAGGGTCTTTGAAGAGACTCCTAAAAAGGTCTTCGGGGACTACTGTTTCGTCTGCCCCGGTGTCTACCTTGAATAGTACTGGGTGGTTCTCAACCAGTATCATTTGTTCCCACTTTGAAGTTTGGGTGTTTGACGTTGTGCCGAGGAATCCTGGCTCTTGACCGTCGTTTCTTGTTTGGGTAGCTGGACCTGAGGCCGTCATCAAATGTCCTTTTGAGAAAAATCCTTCTTCTTGCTCGGTGACATTTCTGAGAGAAGACGTCGACCGACAAACTGTCATAAAGTGTCCTCTTTTTCCACAACCTCTGCACACACCGCGTCTTTTGCTGGACAACTTGCCCGAGAGTGTGTTGCGTGTCCGCACCAGGTGCAGGATCGTTCTGGATTTTTGGTGTCATGCTGGTGACATTTTGACAAAGTCCTATCCCAAACGACCGCAGCCTTTTGTGGCACTGTAAATGATCTGCTAGTCTTTCTGTTGTATTCGGACTGTTTCATGTTGACGGGCGATCATGAGCGCCTTCATCAAGTCTAACGAAGATTCCAACTGTAGTTTTTCTGAAACTTTCTTGTCCTGCAGGCCTACTACCAAGCGGTCTCTGATTAGTTCTCCTCTGAGTTCGCCGAAGTTGCACGTGTCGGCTAACGTGTGCAGGGCCGTTGAAAATTCCTCCACTGATTCACTCTCCCCTTGAGTTCGAGTGTTGAATCGTGCTCTTTCATAGATTATGTTGCGTTTTGGAAAAAAGTAGGCTTCGTAGTGGGCTAGCACGACATCGAACTTCTTGGCGTTTTCTGTACTTTGCTTGAAAGTGTTGAAGATATCTTCTGCTTGAGTGCCCATCAAATAGACGAGCGTATCAACTTGTCTTTCTTCGGCTGCATCTTGCAATCCAGAGGCTGTGCGGTACCGAAGAAAACGTTTCTTCCATGAGGGCCATTCATTAGGAGTGGCGAAGGAAAAAGGCTCAGGCGGATCTACAGGGTGTCACAAAAGAAAATTTACACGGTCTTTTTTACCGGAAAAATAAACTAGGCATCGCCGAACGCTCATTCTCCGCCCAAAAGTAGAGCTAGAGGTCACAACCAGATGCCAAAGTTTCAGCCCGATCCGATAACTTAATAAAAAGTTATTAGTGATTTTCTGAAAATTTCAATGGGGAAATGGCGGCCGACGGAGTTTTCAAACACATGGGGCTCTATGGCACCAGAAACCGAAAACAGGCAAAAATGGGCTCCATTTTCCCATTGAACTTTTCAGAAAATCACTTATAACTTTTGATTAAGTTATCGGATCGGGCCGAAACTTTGGCATCTGGTTGTGACCTCTAACTCTACCTTTGGGCGGAGAATGAGCATTCGGCGATGCCTAGTTTATTTTTGCGGTAAAAAAGACCGTGTAAATTTTCTTTTGTGACACCCTGTATCTGGAACGATGCCATGGCGTACCTGGTGTCCGATTTCGTACCTTGAGCTTGACCCAAGATATTGCCCGTAGCAGCTGCTTTAGCGGTCGCTTCGGCGTCTGAAGAGGAGCCGGTTGCTTCGCGAGCTGACGGGTTAAAACAGGTAGTATTCCGATCCCACTTCTGACACCATGTTCGATGTGGGAAAAGGGCAAGCTTTCAACATGGAGTCAGGCACGCAAAAAGCCCTTTATTCACTTCTTCCTCTTCCCTCGTGTCGACCAAACCGACACGAGTGGTGAATTACCTCACACATCTCACACCAACAACCAATCACACAGTTTCTCGTTATCCCTTTTGTGTTGAACAGGTTAAGAGCTCGGGGCGAGGGAAAGGAAGGCTGGGGAGGAGGAAGCAGGCGGATTGCTGGAGAGGAGGAAACGTCCCCTTCGCTCCAGCATTCCGCCTGCTTCCTCCTCCTCAGCCTTTCTTTCCCTCACCGTGAGCTCTTAAGCACTTGTGATAAATTTTGCAGATAGCTTGTCAGCCTATTATTTCCTTAACTGACCTTAACATTAATTTCTGTTAGGGGCGAAGCTTCTTAGGGTCTAGCCTTGTCCGGCGTCCGTGCTCACATCGATTGCCATCCCCTCCCAAATGTTTGCGCAGTCGACAGGATCAAACCTGTGCGGGCGCCGGGGAGACCCAAATGGATTTCTAGTCTATCGCCTTAATCACTCGGCCATGACTGGGGGACGAGTCGAGGGCTCTGAGATCTGGTAGTAACTCAAGAACTGGAGATGTCATGGATGAAACGTTGCGTGTAGCCGCTCAACGTCTATACAAGAAAGAGCGCTGCATTGGCTAATGAAGTCGAAACGCAACCAGGAACTCAGCACTACCTATTAGCAATAAAAATTAAAAAAAAAAATCAGCACCATCAGCACTACCTATGAACAAAATCAGTATCATTAGCACCACCAGAGCTTCGCCCCAATCAACATCATTCACCACGTGGAGGTGCGGTCATTTTGTTTTGGTTTTTTTTTGTTACCGTTATCTTGCATACTGCCTTAAAAAAAAATTGTCGCTAACAAGAATTTTGTGTGGCTTCGCCATTGGTTCGGAACTTTGGTAAAAAGGCTCAATCCACTAAAGCGACCAACAGCAAATGGCACTAGAAAACATCGGTGCTGTGGAAAGTCTCTTGGGTCGCAGAAAGTCAAAATTTGTCGCGCGTTGAACAAGTATTTTCTCGAGGGGGGAATTGGAACGTGCTGGTAAGTTACAGGGATAAAAGAAAAGCGACATAAAGATGTTTTGTTCTGTCTTCCTCCTCTGTGCCCCCCTTTTTTTTTATCCCTGTAAATCTCTTTTTGTGGCCTGTAAGCGCTGGCTGCGCGCTATTTGTATTCACCTTATGACGTACCACAGGAAAGGCTACAAGCGCGCGCTCCTTGCTCTAGGGCACATCTCGGCGGTACAAGCTCTCGTGCGTTAAGAGCAGCTTTCAACGCTACGAGCTGGCGCTTCTAGCCTTCTCTGCGGTGCAACATAAGGTGAAACGGAGTATAGCTCAAGTCAGACTACTGGATTGTTTTTCACTTTACACGAGCTTACTGGCACTAGTGGGACTCAAGGTTACTGGCACGCAACGCCACTGGCCAAGAAACTCCTTTGTTGCGGTGTAATTTTAGAGACAAAAGCAATCATTTTCATTCAAAACCTCCTTTTCAAAATTTGATGGCGTTTGATGACGTAAAGTGGGGATCGCAGTACACCCATATGACGATATTTGAATGCTGTTCATAGATTGGACCCGAGCATTGTGTGGGCACTCGATTTGGGCCCGTGATAATTACTAGCTCGAGAAGCATTCGGGTAGTGGACCGCGTCCAATCGCTGCAACGACGACAATAGCCGTGCCACAACAATGTCTGGAACTCAGCGCGTGTCCTGCGCTTTGCCAACCCCAGCGCGTGGCTATGATGAACATTGGCGGCATATAATCGGCTCCAGATCACGTGGCCGCTTGTTCTGGCTGCGAGTTGAGGGGGTGAGCGCTGCTCGTTTTTTTCTTTAATTTTTGTCTGGGACTTCCATTGCGTGGGGTGAAAAACGAACGCGTGTTTCATAGGTCATTAATGTCAGGGATCCGTTTTAAGCGGTATTTGCGCAAAGTGCAAAAATTGTTGCATCGCCCCTTTGAACGTGCACGAACGTCCGGCCAAACTGTTGCAGTGGTCCCGGAAAGCACGAGCCCAGGACCCGTGACTGCATCCAGCACGAGCACCAGCACGACTGTGCCACGGGCCAGCTGTCCCCCTCCCGAGATTTTCTTCAACGGCTCGCTCTTCCAGACGGACGGCAGAGAGGATTTCGGCAGTGTTTACGAAGTCCGCTTTATGGGCCTCTTCGGAGGCGTGGACAAAAAGCGAGCGTGCAAGATCAAGTGCATCAACGGGCTCTGGTTCGGTCCCCTCTGTGCTGTAGAAAATCAGGTCGGAGGTACGAAACCTTGAATTTCTACAACGCGTGTCCCCCCCCCCCCCCCCCCCCCCCCCCGAAAAAAAAAAAAAAAAAACGTTTTTTTTTTTTGTACGCGTACGCGTAGCGTTTGCTACGAAACCTTGGATTTCTACAACGTGTTCCCTAAAAACAAAACAAAAAAAAAGAAAAAAAAATGTAGTTTTTTTTTTGGTAGGCGTACGCGTGGCGTTTGCGCCAGGCTTGTACACACAGTTGCGTTGACACTCAATAGACCGCAGTTAATAGACGATAAAAACGCACGGTCGTCGCTACCGGCTCATCAGTAGTAAGCGAAATCCAGGGCAACATGGCGGCTCCCGGCAACAGCGTTGAAGTGACCACTCTTGGGACGATATCCCGCTGGCATCCGCGAGTTCTGTCCAGCGTGAACTATTGCAGCCTTGGAACTGCCTGCTCCCATAGTTCCCACCGCCCCCCTCCCCCCCCTCCCCCCCCCCCCCCCCCACACACACACACAAAAAAAAATAAAAAAGATAAACAGGTATCCGAACGGTAAACCGGACATGCCTCACCGACGGGCTTGTACACACAGTTGCGTTGACACTCAGTAGACCGCAGTTAATAGACGATAAAAACGCACGGTCGTCGCTACCGGCTCATCAGTAGTAAGCGAAATCCAGGGCAACATGGCGGCTCCCGGCAACAGCGTTGAAGTGGCCACTCTTGGGACGATATCCCGCTGGCATCCGCGAGTTCTGTCCAGCGTGAACTATTGCAGCCTTGGAACTGCCTGCTCCCATAGTTCCCACCGCCCCCCTCCCCCCCCCCCCTCCCCCCCCCCCCCCCACACACACAAAAAAAAAAAATAAAAAAGATAAACAGGTATCCGAACGGTAAACCGGACATGCCTCACCGACGGGTCCCCTCTCTTTCTTTCTCGGCTTATAAACTTTCCAGCTAAGCTGAGACGTTGCCTCCTCTTTTACTACCTTCTGTTCTGTTCTCTTTCTGCCCCAGTCTCAGGTTTACAATCATGTTCGGCTTCTGATTGGCCGACCGCAACGCTTTGGGGAGTTGAGCGCGGCTGTACTTCCTTGCGTTGTGCTGCGGGGCGTTGCGCGACGCTGTGCTTCGTACCGTAACTTGGCAAACGGCGAGGGCTACGGTCTCACTGAGTTAATCGGCGCGTTGGAGGGAGAAGGCGCGTGACTATTCTCTACCTCACTCGTTGCGCGCAGTGCTGTCGAAGCCACAAGAGGCAGAAGGAAAAAAAGCCGCCTTTGTACGAATTTTGAGCGGCAGTCTAATATTCGGGGTGGAGAATAGCGACGACTGGGAAACACAAAGGAGGGTTATTAAAGGGGCACTAAAGTGGATTTCAATACTTTTTTTTTTATGGCGCAAACTCAATCTTTCCGCCTTAAGTATAATCGAAAAACCCGAAATCGCAATCACGTGCGGCCTTAGAAACGAGACAAAGGGGCGTGTCGCGGTCTTTGGTCGCATTTTTAATGACGACAAAAACCACGCGTGATTGTAATTTTGAGTTTTCTATGATTCATAGGGTGCATAGATTGAGTTCGCGTCATAAAAAGACGGTTTAAAAAAGGCAAGTTTGTCCTTCCCCTCTTCTTTAACGACTTGGGCTACGCTCTTGCCCCTGTAACTTTAAGCGCTGTCACGTGGTTCACCTCCGTCGCTGTGATTGACCCGAAGAGGTCGTAACGTTCGCTCTTTTCCAAGCCACGGTGATACCAGCTATAGTATTAATGCTGCAAGGACGCTGTTCCGCTCTCGAGCCTGCGTAACGGGCTTTAGCCTCCACCCAAGTGTATAGCGTTAGCGGTCCGGACCAGATACCGAAGTTTTAGAACTAGCCGTTATCCTATTCAAAAGTTGTAAGTGATTTCCTTATCTTAGGTGTGGTGCCCGCAATTCGACTGAGGCTTATTGCGGTGCAGACGCCGTGTATAAAACCGGCATTTCGGTTGCACGACAAAAGGTTTCCAGCTGGTTGAAATTAATTCTCGGACCTTCACTGGGGCGTGCCAGATTCCCTTCGTTGGTTTGGCACGTAAAACCCTCAGGTTTAATACCCCATTCACACGATCGTAAAAGTACTTCTAGCTAAGGGACCTTTAGGGTCGGCGGCGAACCATTTCACGACCCTCCATGTGTGGTGTACGCTCGTTCTGATTCGCCGATTGCAGAACATATCTTTAAGGTAACATTATGCTGGCCGTATAAATAGGGTATACAACATTTCAATATTTACGAGTCCTCAGCCCAGCATGGGCGTACCGACCGGGTGGCAAGGGGGGCGCTTCCCCCCCCCCCCCCCCCCCCAGTTCTCAGAGTGGGGGAGGCAAGGCATGTGTTTTTTTCCCCCCCTACCCCCTAAAACAGAAGCCACTGGGCAGGGCAAACACCGGCCGGCGGCGCCCAAGGGATACCAAGGGCACCGCCCCCCGGCCCTGGGGGTGTGGGGAAGGGGGGTCTGGTTTGCACCCCCCTCTTTGACACACACACACACGCATACACACACACACACATACACAGACGCACACACACAAAAGCAAGTTGGTACACCATGCACTGCAGCCTAGCACGCGCAGGTTGGTCGCTTCGAAAAGCTAGCAAGTCACGCGCCATACGCACAAACATTGAATGGAACCGCACCCAGGATCCCTTTTTTAGAGAGGTCCTTGACTTCGTACTTGTCTTAGGTTTTAATCGTGTTATGGTTAAACTTCGTGGAGTTTTCTCTTGACTGCGTCGCTTCCAGATGGCGGTCGCTTCCACTCGGTCCTCAAGTCGTGCGCCCTGCGGCCTCCCAAGCCCAACGTGGTGGTGCACCGCGACGGTCGCCCTTTGACCGTGTCCGGACTCACCCAGATGGCTCACGAGACGGTGCTAAGCTTCCGCTGTGTTCAGCTCGGCATGCACAAGTTCGTGGGCAACGCCAGCGTTCGCTGCCTCAACGGCCACTGGTCAGCTGCCATGCCGACCTGCCTGGTCACCTCGCAGCAGAGCAACTTCTCGGGTGAGGAGGTGCACGTACACACAGTGAAATTGAGAGAAACATCTTTATTTATACTCGTATGATTGACCTTTTTTTCTACTAAGCCTATGCGCATGCGCACAACCACCTCTCCACTGACCTTTGCTTCCCGCTGTCGCCATTTTCGGGACACTGTCCCGCACGACCGAAATTGCCAACTCCTATCTTCGCGCGTATTTCGTATTTTATGACGATTCTTTTTAAGCATCGGTAGTATGGGGTATGAAAAGCGATGAAAACCAATACAACAGCGCGATCTCAAGTTCTGACATGGGGAAGAACGTTGGGCTACCCTCCATTCGTAGGGACGGTCGTAGAAACAGAAAGGAAACGGAAACTGAAAATAGAATAGATGGGAAAAAAAAGGCGTGTTTCACAATCTTATACACGCGCGTTTTACTCGGCTTTGGTATGATTTGCAAGAAAACACAACTGAGGACACGTTGACCATCGAGCGACACAGTGAGGACTCGATCGCGACATCGAACCTTGATTCCAGCTTATAGGAAATTATAAATTATGTAGATTGTATCGTTCACCCGCTGATATTTTTCTTTCTTTTAGGTAGTGACTTTATATTGTACGGCACTAAGCACGTTTTGGGGAAAATGAAAAACTTGGGTGCTAAACCCACAGAAGACAAATTACGAAATTTTAAGTTTTATTTAACGTGGGGAAGTAGAAGATGCAGAGGCGATAAAGGCGAGAGTAAATGGAAAACTTCAAAAATCTAAAGTGTCACAAGTTCGTAACTTACAGCATTCAATGACGCCTTTTTGGAAGCGTTGACAAGATCACCAATGCACTTGGTAAAATCAGATTCTCGGTTCAGTTCAGGTGCCCCCGACGATTCTTTACACCGTGGAGAAAGGCGACCACGGCGTTTCAGAGACTGGAGAGTTGGTCGTCCACCCTGAGACCAACGTGTACCTCTACTGTCTCTACCAGAGGTTCAGCGGAAATCCCCAGTGGACGTGGACATCTCAGAGGTACGTCTGTTCGATTTGCGATGGCCGTAGGCAGTGTTGGGTAAAGTACATCGAAGATTAGCTTTATGTACTTTATTACTATATTGGATGTCTATTATAAAATAGAGGTTTTGGATACTTGAAGGAAAGTAGTAAGTATACACCAGGCACAATGTCCTTGCAGGTAAGCGCTATTAATGCAATGTACGTTTGAAGTAAATTTGCAGTGCTTTTTAACACAATCTTTCGTGATGCCCTTTCATTTCCCTAGGTGTTTTATTATGATTTTAGCTAGTATGCATTACCCGAGGGTAATAGCTAGGTTGTGCATCAGTTATGTTTGGAAGTGGCGGCGAATACTGGATAAAGTCAAGCGGCCACAGAGTAGTTGTTTTACGCTTGCTGATGACTTATTTAAAACAATCAACTTTAAGGCGCATATTTGTTGACAAATCATCATTTTGTGGTATAAAATTAACAAGGTCAAATTTAGGGAATGTACTTCGAAGTCGGGAGTCGTACTTTCCTCGAAAAGTACAATATCAAACCTTTTAAAAAAGTATAACTACATACTCAGAAAATGTACTTCAAGTAAAGTACACGTTTATAAACCTATACTTGAAGTAGTACTTTAAGTACAATGTACCGAAAGTACTTCCCAGCACTGACCGTAGAGAAAAGGATTTAGAATTGAATTAAGCTGCGTCATTCAAAGCCTTCAAGGATAAGCATAAGTCATGACATGGCAGTTCTCTCTGCAGTGTTGAAGTTAGGATGATACTGTGTTATTCAATTCGAAGCAGCAGTATTCGCACACCTCTAATAGAAAAAAAATATATATATCAGTTATTTTCTTACTTTTTTAGGCTTCACAGATATTTTTTTTTAATAATATCCGCGGAATTTACATTAATGCGGGTTGTGCAGGTGATTTATACGGCCAGGAAAAAGCTTATCATCACGACAAATAGTATAAATAACGAAATCTTGTTAATTAACTTTTTATTAGTTAAAATAAACGCATGGTTTTAATCAACGTAACTAAAACACTCAGTTGGGAAACTCCCATAGAGACAGCCCTAAAAATATGGCCCCAATCTGTCTCCGAGCACCGAGCTAATGACGAACACAACGCCACCATTTCTCCCGCAGCGGCCACTCGAGAAACTGCACGTGACTTCTATTTTTGGCTTCGACAGGGGTGAACCCCCGGCGGACGCGCCGCGTGGAAGTACTGAAGTTAAAATGCACCTAGGTCGGGACGCGCTACCTGAAAGGCCCGCTGAGGCATGGTTTTATAAAAACAATATTAATTGTTCCGCAAAACCTTGCGAACTAAAGATGATAAAAACATCACGCGCCCATCATTTGGTACTAAACTCCAATAAATTTCATACAAAAAGAGTCTTTTCCGTTTGTTTTTACGCAAAAAACCGGCTTTCAAAAAGCCCGAGGTGACCACAGTACAGACAAATGATAAAGAGTGGTGCTGTTGTCGCATTTAGCTCGGTCTCGGTGGACGCCAGCGGCCCAGGTTTCGACGGCGAGTTTCCCAACAGAGTGTTTTAGTAACGTTGGTTTTAATTAAAACCTTGTTGAGCGTAATCCAAAGCCCCGAAATCAGTAAATTTTTTTGTAAAACTTCGTGGGAAGCGCGGTAGTGCGCTAAGGTAACCACCCGTGCAGGGCGAAAAACGCAAGTCTGGCGGTCCGAAAATACGGATGATAAAAAACTGAAAAACTTCGCGCGGGCGCCTTTTTGGAAACCCCCAGGCATCCGCGCTTTGAGTCGTTTCTGAATTTGAGTGATTTAGTGTTTTTTTTATTACACTCAGCGCGTTTCTATTTAAAACCATATGTTTATGTTTAACAATTAAGAGGTTAATTAACTAATTTTAGTTAATTATTTAACTTAGCGTGAACATTAGCCCCCTATACTATGTCCACATGGCCGTTTAACCCACTTGCACAGACCGCATTAGTGTAATTCACGGATATTTCTTTTTAACAGTCTGTAAAGCCTAAAAAAACACCACGTGTACACCAACATATGAGGTTTATAAATAACGTTCCGTGTTTTCGGGGTTTACATTTCGTTTTAAATTGGAGGTGTTTTTTTTTTGTTTTTTTTTTGGGGGGGGGGGGGGTAATTTTTTTTCCACAGATTCGGTGTTTTTGGGAGTAAACTTTTTGTATCGGACAAAGAAGGGGTCTTTATCGGGTCTTATGTTGAAGAAGCAAGACACGGGCATGGAATTCCCGATCCTTCAAAGAACGTGCTCGCGGCCTGAATAGTTGAAAAACGTCCGGGTACCAATAAAAGAAGGAAACGAGATGAGGAGTCTCGTTCCGAAGAAAGAAATAGCCTCGCGGACAGTTCAGTGCGGCTGTGTTCGAAGTAAAGAAAAAGAAAACAGAATTGTAGTTGAAGATGATTGCCCGGAAAGCTTGAGCTTTTTTAGTGAAGAAAAGCTCGGATTCGAAGTTTTAAGAGATAAAACTGGCTCGGAGGTTAATTTTCGGGGTTTATTGGTATCTAGCGAAAACACTGAACCCCATTTTTTAGTATCAGAAGTACTTTAAGTACATTGAACTTAAAGTACTAGTTCAAGTAGGTTTAGAAAACTTGTACTTTACCTGAGTTATATTTTCTGAGTATGTACTTCTACTTTACTCAAAGTACTCTTTCTGGTACTTTCCAAGTAATGTACAACTTCCGTCTTCAAAGTACATTCCTCAAATTTTATCTCGTTAAATTTGAATCACAAAATGGTGCTTCGTCGACTCTGAAACCAATTCACTTTGTCCAATATTCGCCGCCATTTCCGAAAATAACTGATGCATCCCCGATTACCCCTAAAACAATGCATGCAGATTGGGTAAAAAAGTACTTGTACTTTACTTTGAAAGTAGATTGTACTTATAGTAATTTACTTCAAGTACATTGCGCCCGGTGCACTTACTACTGTACTTGAAGTACGTAGTCTCTCATTTACTTTGTACTTTACTTCAAGTACTTTTTGAATGTACTTTACCCAATACTACAGTGTATTTATAAACAAGCACGGGTGTGCCTGTACCAGGTGTAGGCATTGCGCGCGGGCAGAAGCCAGTTTCGCCTGAGACGAAGCTCCTGCGCATGTTCAGTGCCGACTGCAACGCCGCCGTGATGGCGTGACGTCAGAGAGTTGGGCTGCTGTTTACGGCGAGCAAGTGTACGAAAATGCGTCTTTTGCGCATCAGAACGCAAGGAGGGACACGCGAATCAAAGGACCACATGGAGAGCGCGCAGGGAACGCGCGATTATATATATGGGTGGTTTCATCTCAAATCGTGCAGGCAAAAAGGGTCGAATTTTTAATTTCGATGAAAAAAATATATGTTATGGCGCCGTTTCTAAAAACGCAGTCGCCACAAACCGCAAGTTCGTCGGATTTTTTGTTCTCGACTTATGAATTTTTAAAGAGGCCGCGGCGAAAAGCAGTGTTTTTCACACCCGTCGTGGGTCGGATGTTTCGCTTGATCTCCCTCCCTGGATTTTCAGTCCACATTATATTATATTTTTTTCAAGCACTCTGTGGACATATTTAAAAGGCTCCTATACCATAAAATAATTTTAGGCGTTTTGCTTTTGTTTTGTAAAAATGTCAAAAACGCCCCCTCGGTCAATTGTTGACGAAGTTTGACAATTAATTACTGGCGATCTACTTGGGTTACATCGATAATTTTTATGTCCACGGAGAGCCCAAAACACGTTCTTTATATGTATTATAAAATAACTTGGCTGTATAAAATATTCTTTTCGTTACGTTTACGTTAATGTTATGTGAAAACCAAAAAGTACCATTTTTGAAATTGATTTTCTCAAAAAACCCATTTTTTATTTTTTTTATTTTTTGCTAAAATGTAGATTTGATAGTTTTCTACGCGAAAATTAAGTCGAGAAAGTGTATATTTTGTTTGTATGTTCTACATTTAAGCATCAATATCGTACAAAAACGTGTTTTTACGGCTCGAAATGGACCTGCGAATTGCGCGTCTTCACAAGCTTGGAAATAGTTTTTTCTTTTTTTCAACGTTCCCACATAAAAATGAAATACAGTATTTACACCCTGTTATATTTATTGATTATTTAAATTTTATTATAGGCGGCAAGCTACATCGGAGGAGTTCCAAAAAGAGAAAGCAACACTTCTTAACAGACCAGCAGGTGTCGTTAATTTTTTACGTGTAGGAGTCGGTAGACGTCGTATTGATTCGGGGCCCCCATTGACCTGCATGAACGTCCCGCCCTTTCGGAGCCAGCAGGTGACCACGACTTTTCGCGCTCGTTGTGTTAGATGGGACGGCCCGTGACAGTAAAGCGAGCAGCGTGCACCCTGTGTCACGAGGAGTGAAATGGTACGTTTGTGACGTTGACACGGCGAACAGTGACAGCCACCCAGGAGGAGTCAGTCAGAGTATTGCACAAGGGAAAGCAAAGGAATCGTTGCCTGAAAGGATGAGGACACCACGGCCTTACAATATCGACGGTCAACAACTGTTCTGCCAGCCAAAACAACGCCGCGTGCGCGCTAAAACCGGCGGCGCGGGACAGAAATCCCTTAAACGCACACACGAAGATGGGCCGGTTTCGTTAGGGATGTGGGGAAATTTGAAACCAGCCATCCGTGCATGCGTGAAACGATACCGCCTGTTTGCCCTAGCTTCGAGCGCCCTATCCTTACCTTGAAACGGTCGTGCTCTCTCTCTCTCTCTCCGGAGAGATCCGATAGTACCGAAGGGTTATCTATTAAACTTGACGAAGAAAACGAGAAGGGACTGTTTAAGTTTAATTATCCCCACCAACCCGCTCGTTCTGTCCTTATAAAGGGTTATCTCTTTTGGAAACAGCAAAGCCCGGAGATTGACATTAAAACGAGCGTGTTGGTAAATATACTTGTGTTTGTACTCTGCCCGGAGATTATAGTTGGGTCGAAGTCAGCCTCCTTGTCAACTATAACCGTCTGTGAAGAGTGGGCTTCTCCCGAGATGAAAAGTTAGCGCCGTCTGACGTGTTCTTTTGAAAAAGGGAAGGGGAAAGAGAAAGTTTGAGTAACTGCAGAAACGACCTCGAAAGCTCCTCACCCGATATGAAGCTTGAGGCAAAGTCTCGGTTACCTTCTCGCGCATCGCCTGCTCGAATCTATTCTTCACTTTCTTTCTCACAGCCACTGTTCCGCACAGCCGTCGTGGATGTGCGTAATAGAGGGAGGAACAGATTCGAGCATCATCTGGACGCCGTCATCCTGCCAGACTTCAGTGTCGTGGGACCGACTCGTGTGTGTTTCTTCGCCCCGCTGAACTTTGTTTCTCGGGTGCGGTTTTTTCTGAACGTTTTTTTTTTCAATGTTTTCTTACTAGCTGTTTGTTAGTACTGTTCAGTTGTTGGGTTTATATCGTCATGGCGTAGCTGCCTGGCGGTGATGTAGAGAGCGTGTTCGCACGCATTTGGTTGCGTCCCGTTTAGGGAATGCCCGGAGGAGTTGGTTTTTGTTCTTGCCATGTGCGGCTGAGTTTTCTCGTCTTTATTAAATTTTTGATTTTTTTTTTTTTTTTTTTTTTTGTTTTACCTTTACGTGTCGTCAACTTCTTTGACTGACTCTCCACCAGGCGTGGACCTATCGCCTTGCCGCCGCCCGAACCTAAATACTTTTTTTTTTTTTTTTTTAACGCAATTTTCGTTAAGATCGGAGTTGGGCAATTTAATTCCTATTTATTTATTTTTATTTCCTACCCCTCTCCATGACACACTCTCTCTGTGTGTTTCGGACCGTTTCTGTGTCACCACATTTGTGTATTACGGAAGTGAAAGGACATTCCCTGGTGACCTGTGCGATGTGCGGTGAACAAACCCCCAGTGTTTGGTTTCGGAAAGAATTGTATATAATATATCGACGATGTGGTGACTTTCTTTGTCTTAGTAATATGACAGCTAATAGCTAGTCGTGCTAGTTTACTGTGAAAGGTTTATAAATCGAAACAATACAACGTCTGTGCCTTTTGGTTATTGAAAGTCTACTAGGCCTGCTGATTTGGTTAGATATGTATCTCCTGGTTCCCGCTCTTATCAAAACATACATAAATATTCAATACCATAAAATCCGTTTATAATTGATTACAAAATGCAGAAGAAGATTTAAGAAAACTTTTTCACAATTAATAGAGACGCATGGGTCGCTATGTCTGACTTAAGTCTTGCAAAACAAAGACGTCTTTTTTCCGATATTGAGGCCTAAATATAAAACATACAAACAAAATATACACTTTCTAGGCTTGATTTTCGTGTAGACAACTATCATATCTACATTTGAACAAAAAATAAAAAAAATAAAAAATGGGTTTTTTGAGAAAATCAATTTCAAAAATGGCACTTTTTGGTTTTTGCATAATATTAACGTAAATGTAACGCAAAATATATTTTATACAGCCGAGGCATTTTATAATACATATAAAGAGCGTGTTTTGGGCTCTCCGTGGACATAAAAAATATTGGTGTAACCCAAGTAGATCGCCAGTAATTAATTGTCAAAGTTCGTCCACAATTGACCGAGGAGGCGTTTTTGACATTTTTACAGAAAAAAAGCAAAACGCCTAAAATTATTTCATGGCATTGGAGCGTTTTAAATGTGTACACAGAGTGCTTGAAAAAAGTTAATATAATGTGGACCGAAAATCCATGGCGGGAGATCAAGCGAAACATCCGACCCACGATGGGTGTGAAAAACACTGCTTATCGCCGCGGCCTCTTTAAAAATTCATAAGTTGAGAACGAAAAATCCGACGAGCTTGCGATTTGTGGCGACTGCGGTTTCAGAAACGGCGCCATAACATATATTTTTTTCATCGAAATTAAAAATTCGACCTTTTTTGCCTGCACGATTTGAGATGAAACCACCCATATATATATAGGAACCTTCGTTTTCGGGTTTTATATTTTTCAAAAATCGGGGGTGAAAATTGGGCGCTTTGATCCAAGGGGGCCGTAATCGGAGAGGGGTCGGGTATCTTAGTTAATTATTATGAAGTTCGAGTTTTTTTTCAGGTTATATTTAGAAATATACAAGTCGAATTAACAATTGATCCGTTTGAATACAGAGATTATTTTTAATAAAACACTGTACACAGATAGCATTGAAACATGGTAAGAGCTTACATGCATGGGCTTTAAAATTTTTCATAATTCATGGTTGCTTATATAATATTCTGCAGGCGCAACATGGTTTGTCTCCATTCTAGACCTGTTCGGTTCTTGGACATAATGTCCGAATTGAGAGGAGATTCTTCGGCATTGCAGGTCACGTACATTTAGAATGCAAATTTCTCGTCCTTCTATTTTTTGTTGTTGTAATGATTGAAAGAGAAAATGTAAAAGGGAAAATGATAGTTCACAAGGGACATGAATACCGCATTTGAGGGCCCGATCCCTGTCGCTGCAGCTCACTGACTTCGAAATAACTTCGGATTGTTTACGAGGCCTGGAGCCACCGCACAAGTTTCTTAGAAATTATTTTCGGAGCATAGTAATTTGGAAAATGCTGGAATTCTATTTCCGAATTCGGAAAAAAAAAAAACGATTTTCAAGAAACATGTTTGGAATGTAGATATCGGGAAATATCGGGTTTTACCCGAAGACGAAGGACTCTAGGGATATATACTTAGGGGACTTAGTTGAACAGAATTCATATTTGTGAAGAAAATACGAAAACAAAATTTTCGATCGGCGCGAATACCTATCAACTCAAAAGTAAACAAAATATACAATTCCCGTATTTTTTTTTTTTTTTAAGGGGGGAGAGCGGTCAAGCTGCCGACAACGAGCGTTCCAGCGCTTTCGTCATTCCTGCAGTCAAAAACGAGAGTATTGATCTGATGTGCATGTTGCACCCACTGTTGAGCAAAACAAACCTGGGAACTTTGATGTTTAGGGACTACGCCAAGGGCTGGATCTTATCGGCGGACGAGAAGCAGTGGCGTTACGAGCTGCTCATCTACAAGGCCAAAGAGCGAGACTCCGGCACCTACACCTGCACCACACCCCGCGGACAGACCAACGAAATCCATCTCACAGTCAAAGGTAGGGGCGGGACAATTAATTGCCGAACCTGCTACCAAAGCTAAGGTCTCAAGTCATGGCGGCCATCGTAAATAAGCGCATTTTCGTTTTATTTTTGAAATAGGCACGAAACTACTTAGGAATAATGTTTGTTCACCTAATAACCGTTGTATTCACAGGTTCCCGCGCGCATACGCACACGGTTCGTCATTTCGCATAAGACACGCTTCAAAGTGGGCAATTTTCCCAGCAATTTTCCGAGTTGCTGACGAGTTGTTTCCTAGATCCCACTGATCTCCACTATGGGGGCTGGATGGCGCATAGCTGCTCTCTGAGCCCGCGCAAATGAAGCCACCGGAAGTTCGATGCAATTGTGCCGGAAGTCGGGCGTCTGCTGGGCTTCCTAGTGCATTCGGTCAATATTTTGGTCCATGCTTTGTTGTGTCTTCGATTGGCTTTATACACTTTCGTTCTGAATTAAATCCTGAGAATAGGGCATTTGAACGTGGGACATACGCACACTTGATACACTAGAATCTCAAAAGGTTCACATCGAATAGCTTCCCATGAGACTTCTCTGGTCCACATGCGCTGTTACTCCGCAGCAGCAAGCTCTCTTAAAATAACAAAAAAAAAAAAGAAAAGAAAACATCGCCATGAGCGCTGTTCGATTCAGTACTCGGAGGAGTTGAAAAGTTTGTCAAGCGCTCACTTCAGGGACAAGCCGCTTACTTCCGTTGGCTTCAAACCTGTCTTCTCAATGCGCCATCCAGCCCCCTATTGTGGAGATCGATCCCGGCGTTGCAACAGGAATTTCTGGGTGCGGGTCCGGATTGAAACGACCCAAATTTGAACAACTCGGAGACGTTCGAAGCGGCAGCAGCCAATCGGGGACGCGATATTTTCACGTGACCACCTGTGAGAAAGATAATTGAAGGCACAATTAAGCGTCGTTCTAGTTTGCCATGGATTGTTCTCGCAACAAAGTGGTTCCAGGGAGTCTAGTTAGTGCTCTCAACGAAACTTGAAGACATAAAAAAAAAGCACGTCATTAATTCAAAACTTTGTGTCTAAATAGCGCAAGAAAATTAAAAATTTCACAATGATAATAACAAAACGTAGAAATTTAAGACTCAGTGATCGCTGTTTGTGAAAAGAGGCGACCCGTATTGCTGGTGTTGTGACGGTAATTTATACCCCATTCACAGGACCAACATAAAGGTATACCTTTAACGTAGGTCCCTATGCTATCGACAAATCAGGCCGTGCTCTTGGGTCGCGAGCACACGCCACGCGCGGAAGATCGTTAATTGATTGGCCGCAGAGATGAAGGTCCCTTTGCTAAAGGTACCTTTACGGTCGTGTGAATGAGGTATAACACTTTACAAATAGTGTTTTTCTTCTTCTTTTTTTTTTTTTTTGAAGCCTAACAGTTTTGTTAAAAAAAAATACTTATGCGGCTTGTCGCGTGAGTTATACGACCAGGGGACATCGTATAGGGGTCTCATTGTAACGATAAGTCGGCTAATTAAGTGAAACTTGTTAATTAATTTTTCAATTAGTGAAAAGAGACGTGCGGTTCTAATTAAAAACTTGCCGTGCATCATCGAAAATCAATGAATAAGTGTTTTTTAAGCTAAATTTTGAGCGCGTGGGAAGCGTAGTAGTGCGCTAAAGGCGCTAACTCGTGCAACAGGTACAAGGCTGTGGCTAGGATAACGTTGATAAGAGAAGGAAAAAGCCGGTAGCCTTGCTCCTGCTGCACACGTGGTAACTTTAGCGCGCTACTGCGCCTCTCACGCTCTCAAAGTCTTTCTAAACATTACTGATTTGGTGGTTTTGAATGACGCTCGGCAAGTTTCTAATTGGGATTATATGTCTCTTTTCACCAATTAAAAAGTTAGTTAACAAGTTGGACTTAATTAGCGGACTGATCGGTTACGATTAGCGTCCTATACTATGTCCCCCTGGCCGTATAACCCACCTGCACAAACCGCACAAGTGTAGCTTTTACGGCTTTTTTAAAAACAAATCTGCAGAGCATAAAATCACATACACACTCACACACACGTACGCACACGCACGCACGCACACGCGCGCGCACGCACGCACTCACACAGACGCACGCGCACGCACGCACACACAGACACACGTGCGCGCGCGCACACACACACACACGCGCATACACACCATATACTTCGTTTCACATTAAGTTCCACCGCAGCCAACGTTGCGATCTGATCAAATTAAACAAGGAGCACCAAAGGTTTATCGTCAAGGTGCTCGTCGTCTTTGTGCATTTTATATTATCAACTAAACCACTCATGCAAAAAAAAAAAAACGAAAAAAAAAACGCGGGATTACGGTGCACATTTATTGGGCGCGATGGGAATTAGCCCGTGGTGCATGACAAACGCACAAAGGAGACAAGCACCACAGCGGTACACTTCTAGTTCCTAGCTTTACTAATTCCGCTCAATTGGCTCCTTCTAATCGTTCACTCTAAAAAAAGCCTGTGCGTCTGCTTTCCCGCACAACACTCGGAGAGCCAATCACCGCGCCTTACGGAGGCAACTCAGCGAATGACAGTGCCGAAACATATGTTTAGACCAAAAAACGCAGTCTGAGCTGTGACATTTAAAAGTATAGGAAACTCGTTGAATCAACAAGACACCCAAAAACCACAGTAAAAATCTTATATATATATAAGAAATGTTTGGTTCAAATAAACGCCTATGGTTAAAAAAGATCATTTAAGTAGACGCACAGACTTTTTTAGAGTGTTCCACTGGCTACGGTAAGACTTAATGCGAAGAAGAGCATAAAAAAAAAAAAAAAAAAAAACAGTTCGGAGGCGAGCCTACGAGAGCTCACGCCAGCTTTTCCGCAGAGCGCACACGGAGAGCCAACCACTGCGATTCACAAAGAGTGTTCGACAAATAACGAAGACGACGAGGATGCGGAGAAATGACGATGACCAAACCAACGTTTTAATAGAAAAAATAAAGGCATCTATATAACATTAAGAATACTTTTTTTTTTATAGGTGACTGCTCGCTCATTGATCTTCTTGTGATGGGATAATTATTCAGTGTCCCGTTGCGGACAACGTTTGTAAGTTTGGAACGTTTTTTTTTTGTATCTTTTTTTGCCGAGCTTTTCTTGTTGATGGCAGTGATTGGCCGTCTGGGTGCTCCGAGGGAAAACAGACTTACGGGTATATTTTTAAAGAACGCTGCCCGTGGGAACCCGCCTTATGGTACGTTTACACCTGAAAAGAAATCCGCTGCCGCGGGAGCGGATCCGCTCCCGGCGGCGGCGGCGACGAGCGGGTTGCGTTTACATCTGTTTCCTTCGAGCAGTGACGGCAGTGCCGGCTGCGGCAGCGGTTCCCGTAACGTCTCGTCAAATATGACGAGAAGGCGCGAGAGTTCCCGCCTCGGCTCTCTCTCTCCCGGGCGTTGCTGCTCCCGGAAGAACGCGTACTCGTGACGTAGGCAGCGTCGCGCCGCGCAAGAATGTCACATCCGGTCAGCGAAACGCCTCGTTCGGCGGCAGAAATAGATCCCGGACCTAAACGGCTCGCCGCCGCGTTTTCCGCCCAGCGTTTCGCCCCAGCGGCAAAAGCTGGGCGGATTCGCTGGCGGATCCGCAAGTGTAAACGTACCATTAATTGATGGTTTGACCTTTCGCTTCTTTCTGGTTAGCGCCCGGCGGTGACACTTCGTTCCATCTTAAAAGGACACTGAACCCCCCAATAAACTATTTTGTTTTCTTAAGTTATCGTATCAGACACGTAAGTCACAAAATTTTATAGATCCGCCGGATCATTCAATTAGGTGTATAAAGTGCGCCATGGCTTTGTATACACCTATAGTCGGAGACAAGTCAAGAACGAAGTGGAGGCTCCTCCCACACCTTTCCACTTTAGTAGAGCGAACGCTGGAGAGGAGGCGAAATCCTTTTCACCGTTCGCTCCGCTGAAGTGGAAAGGGGTAGGAGGAGCTTCCACTTCGTTCTTGACCTGTCACCGACTATAGTCTGGTTATGCGTGTTTCTGTTTCATGTGGAGCGCAAGTTCGTCTGCTTCTTGTACAGGGCTTGCGATGATGTCAGAACGCCGAGCTCTTATTGGTTGATTGAAAAAAGAAAAGTGGGTAGACGTCAAGGCATCCAGCATTGATGTCTACCCACTATCCTTTCAATCAAAGCCAATCAGAGCACGGGGTCGTTCTGACGTCACCGCAACTCCTGCGCAAGAAGCTGACGACTTGCTCTTCGTATAGGCTTTGACAGCGTTCCGACTTAGAGTGAAACAAGGTATTATGCGTTACAGTTTTTTTTATATAGAATTGTAAAATATTAACGACTTGCATTCCTCCCGTTCACAGACGTGGCCTGTCCTCCGATCGAAGGCTACGGGGACGAGAACCGCGTGACGAGCGAGCACGGCAACCGCATGCACAGCAAGGCTAAGTTCGCCTGCATGGAGGGCTACAACCTTGTGGGCTCCGAGGAGGTCCTGTGCAGCCCTTCGGGACGCTGGTCCGACAAGGCACCGCACTGCGTAGGTGGGAAACGCACGCCACTAAGCTTCCGTCTCGCACGATGGCGTCTGCTCCAACGAAGCGTTTTGGAACTTTTGCTTTCTATGGGGACTCTGCACAAACCTCCCTTGCTCGTGTTGGCGTTGGTCGCGCCGTGGCAGGGCGATTGGAGAGAGTGGCAACAACGGGGTGCAGCTGTTGGTTCGACGTCATTGCGCGCGCGACCAATGACGTTGCACCGCGCAGAGGGGAGAAGGGGCCGAGAGATTAGCGTTGCGCTAACGCTCCCCTCTCTTCCCCTTTCTCCGCTGCGTAGGAACAGGGGCTGCGTAACAGGGTAGGAACTGCGAATTAGTGAAATAATCTTTTCTACTGGAAGGCAGTTCAGAATGCTGCTTGTTAAAAACCCCATCAAGTGCTATCGCATCTTCATAGCCTTTTACGGAATGTCTAAGCTAGGTGATATTTTTTTTATACCATCGTCATAGTATTTAAGAAAGCTATTGACAGTGATGAAAGTAGGCTGGGGAGCTGGTTTGGGAACTGCATCGGTTAAAACACACAAACTGGATAGGTTGAAACCTTGTGCAGTGCTCCCTCTTTTCAGTTCTCCTAATACCTCTGCCAGACCTGCACTTAAAAGGACCTTTGTGCCAAAGGCCTTTAGGATTCTTAAGTCAGCTATAAGTTCTGCCGTGACAGACATCGCAAGTAAATGCTACTTAGGCGATGTTTACAGCGATTAAAGTCTCGTAGCTCGTTCAAACACATAAATCACGTTCACGCCAGAAAAATAATATATTGGCGATATAAATATTTTTTTAAAGTTTTTCTTTAGCAAATAAAATATTAAATAGACAAAATGACGAGCTCAGTCGAGTGATTACAACAAAGTCCACTTTAAGCAAAATCAAAGTGTTTATTTTTTTGGCAATTAGCGGCAATCCTGAGCGTCTTCCGCTCACTGAGTCCCACCGTCCTAACATCGCTCAGTGCTCCCGCTTATTTCCGTGCTTCTGCTACGCTCTTGTCCTGTTCGGTTCGGCGTCGTGCTCGCACTTGAGTTTCATAGCACGCGTCGGAGGTCCTCCAGGCGATCCTCCCAAAGTTGTATCAGCTCCCAGGTCCCTCAACGCTCCAAAGGAGGCGCGGCGACCCCTCCCTTTATTCGTGGACGCTCCTCCGTAGCTCGGCATATCGCACGACGCGAGAGTGAGATGCAGAAATAGAGATATGTACAAAGAAATATTAAATATATACAGTACAGTTTGTAATACGCTATTAATGGATGATACAATATAAAGTAGAGAAATAAAGGCTAAAAAAACTATGGCTGTAAGGAAAATCGAAGTGCCGAAGTGGACGTTGCGAGCAGGCCAGCAGCGGGTCGACGAGGCCTGCTCGATAGTACAGAAAGTACTATTAGTACTTTCTGTACAGAAAGTACTAAGTACAGAAAACTATTAGTAGGGCGAGGTTCGTACAGAATATACGTGCATAATGAAAATACAAAGACATTGATTTTATATATCTGTACGATATTTTATTTCAATTCGCTTCTCTAATGTAGATCGCTGCTGAGGAGAGTAGACCTTTAGCAGCCGTAAGGGGTTGCGGGAACTCAGGTTCACGAAAAGGACCTTTGAGTTGAATGCAATTTGAGTTGCCGTATGGCACTGCCTAAATGACATTTACACTGAAGGTCCTTTGGCGTAAAGGTCTTTTTAGGTGCCCGTCTGACAGGGGTATAAGACTTAGTTAGTATGGGAGGATCGGGGGTCGAGTGAAACTTAATATGTCAAGGTCTGAATATCACTCCTGCTGGATTCGATATGAACGGGCCTTTACCGACAAAGAGCTTACCTTCTGCGGTGAAGACTTAGGACTACTAGAGTGCCTTCATGTGCGCTTCGCATAGGGTGATGCCAACTGCCTGTTTCCCTTTCCCAGACAGTATCCCACCGCCATTTTGTGCCTTTCATTGTTTTCCCGTGCGCCAGAAAATTGGCTTTGTGTCCATCGGTGCTCCCATCCGAGGGCGAAAACGCTAATCCTCCCTCCGTGGGTTCCACAACGCTGCTCTGAACTTGTGAGATAAGGTGCTTGTTTTCGGGAGGGTTATAAGCCCCACGGATCATCGCCGAGAACCAAAATGGCTGCTGGTCTGTCGGTGAGTGGTATTACGAAAAATGGCATCACCCTAGCAAAGCGCACATGAAGGCTCCCTAAGGACTACGAGTGTGCGAAGAACGGTTTTATGGCTTCAGAAACGGATGTCGTGGCTATGAATAACGCACCGCTGCTCGATTCGAATTACTGTTGCACATCCCTTCTCAGGGCATTATCTTTTAGTAGAGACTAAGGTATATAAACATTCATACGGCAAATTGAACTGAAGTTTTGATATACGTACGTAGAAAGACATCCACTCGCTTTGTTTTTGTTTTCCACCCACCTTTATAGGTATTGGCAGCGACGGATGCTCTCCACTCCGGTCGCTGACGAATATTTGAAAGAGACGCCCTAGCTTGGCGGCTCTCGCTTTGGCTGGCATCCTGTCGCTTTTGTAGAATTGCGTCTTTATTTGTTGATTTTTTTTTTATGTGACCACCCTTGTTTTGTTTTTCGATTGGGTTCAATCTATTCCTTCAAAAATTATATAAAAATTCTCCCATTTTTATTTTTTTATTTTCGTACCTGGTAAACCTTTTTTCGACTACCTTCAAATATTCCAAAGCGCCGTCCATATTAAAAACGTTGCTGCTTATACTCGACGCATATTGTATACTCCGGCAAAGTCAGGTTCAAAATTGCGATCTGAAGAACAAAAAAATTCGCACGCATTTGGAAATATGTGCATCAACGTTCGCGAATTGAAAGCAACCTTGGTTAAAACAACAACTACAACAAAAAGAAGTTATAGATTGTTTGATGAAAGTAGGATTTCCCTGGCATCCGCCACTGTATACAGTACGCAACAACTACTCCTCGACTTCCGATGCCAGCTGTGACTCTGTCTGTTAAGCACTTTCTTGTTTCTTCTTTTATTAACTTGAAGTAGCTTGGGGCTTTCACGCTCTTGCTTATGCCCGTTGGTGACTACGTTTGTTTTTATTAGTTTGATTACAATTGGAAATGAGTAGGCAAAAAAAAATTGCGTTGAAAAAAAAAAAGCGACTGAGTGTAGAAAAAGATAGCAATATGATAATAAAGCTGACGGCGTGACAGACAAAACAAATATAGAAAAACAGAGATTAAGAAAAAGAGGGGAAAAAAAGCACAAAGAAAGAATAGCGCTTGATTCGTCCTGATAGAACAAAAAAAAAAAAAACTGCAGAGATAGAAGTGGGCCTTTTCTGATCAAAGGCCGCGTCTATTGGCGGGTGTACGAACTTACTTTGGAGGGGAATGCCGTTGCCGCTAACCTGTGCCGGTTCGGATAGCAGTCGACGTTATTGACTGCTATTTTGCCTGTCTCTTTCCCCCTAGAAACGTAGTCGAGTTGCCATACACAACAACCTTGTTGTGCCTAAACACGGAAACTTGTTTCTGCAGTTTTTTGTTTTATGCATCCCACCATACAGCGCCTTAAACTACACACTCGTCCTTCTCACTGCTTCATTATATACGTGGATGAAACAATGAAAAATAATTGGCTTTTGAATCTAAATTGTAAATACCGTCGTGCAAAAAAAAAAATTGTTTTATCACGTTTTAACAATCATTTAGCAGAATGCAGTTGTAATGCCCAATTGAAAAGAGCAACATTTTATATATTATTTCTCCAGTAAACTCATCAAAACTTGTATAAATTATATAAGGCGTATTTACTTCGTTTCAGCTTAGGTCCGAGCGCGGCCGATGTTATGTGCCGAAGGGCCAATCAAACAGCGAAGGAGGCACAACGTCATGGCGTGCTCTCTGCAGTTGATAGGACCAGCCGGTATTCGCCGTCTCTCTGTGCACTCCGCCGGCTAGTCAAGCGCAGAGAGCACGCCATGACGTTGCGCTTTTTACGCTCTTTGATTGGCCCTTCGGCTCATAACATCGGCCGCGCTCGGACCGAAGCCGAAAAGAAGTATAGTATAAGATAAGTACTTATATGATAATGTATGTACCCATCGTACACATTGATCTAATTTTTTTTTATTCACTACACTCTAAAAAAAGTCTGTGCATCTACTTTCACGCACAACACTTGGAGAACCAGTCAGCGGAACTTACGGAGGCAGCTCAGCGAATGACGATGCCGAAACATCTGTTTAGACCAAAAAACGCAGACTGAGTTGTCACATTAAGCAATGCAAGCGTGACGTTTTGCATTGCTTAATGTCACAACTCAGACTGTGCTCTTTGGTCTAAACATATGTTTCCGCATCGTCATTCGCTGAGCTGCCTCCGTAAGTTCCATTGATTGGCTCTCCGAGTTTTGTGCGTGAAAGTAGACGCACAAACGTTTCTTAGAGTGTAGGGTGGTAATATGCCTCACCTAAAAGTGATGAGTACTTCACATAGAACCGATGTATTATGTTCTCTCGCAGTGATCCAATGTCCGGAGATCCCAAACTCGAACCACCTCCGGGCGAGCACAGTGAATCGGACGTACGGCATCCGTGTCCACTTCTCCTGCCCGCTCAACTACAGGCTGATGGGCCCGCCCTTCGTGACCTGCTGGAAGAACGCGTCCTGGTCGGACACGCCTCCCAGCTGCGAACGTGAGCTGCTCTTCTCTGCTGAGCACGTCACCGTCATAAAAGAAAAGAGTAGAATGGGACGAAGTATTCGGGCCGAGGTTTCAGTGACAGCCATATTGAGTGAGATTCAGGTACTGATAAACGCGAACGACAAGGAGTGTTACAGTACGCCATAACGCTGGCGTCCTGTTGTATTTGCGCTCGTTTCCTTCGCGGGTATGTTCTCACCAACTGAACAAATCACGCAGAAAAAAAAAAAAAAAACATGGGCGACGATGCCACGACGTGATGCCTTTAGACGGCATCAGCTGTGCTTATTATTCGACGACATGATGATGACGATTGAGTGACATTACGCCGATCGTGCGTCGTATACAGTAATTTTCGTAGATTGTTTTCGCCGTCCCGCAACGCTTTCCGCAGCCCGCTACGATACCTTACCCGGAACTCTACAGTCAAGGCCATCGGCGCGCAGGCGCAGTAGCGGCTTCTTCGTTGCGGAGGGCTTAGCGGAGGGGGAAACGCGGTGTACGAAAACTCCCTATTCAAATGACTTTGCGTTGATTTAGCATTGATACGTTGTTTATAAACAAATGATTTCAAGGTCGTGACGTCAATTTTTCCGCTAACTTTAGCGGCGAAACTGACGGCGTTTAGGCTCACACCGCCACGAAATCGGGGAGCGGGCCACTAACCGCTGTCGCTGTAAAAAGCACAGGATCGCGGCGCGTTCACTGCTCGTGATTGGTTTAGCCGGTGCTATCAAACGCACAAACACGAGGAGCGCTAGTTCGTCTGCTTCTTTTGCAGGGGTTGTGATGACGTCATAAAGGCCGAGCTCTGATTGGCTCTGATGGGAGAATAGTGGCTAGACCTCAAGGCAAGCTGCCTTGAGGTCTACCAACGGTTTACCCACTATTCTTTAGTCAGAGCCAATCAGAGCTCGGCGTTCTTACATTGCCACAACCCCCGCAAAAGGAGCAGATGAACTTACACTCCGTATAAGTTCCATTTACCTTCTGCAACCCCCCAAACATACATACAAGGAAAGAAAAAAGAAATCTTGATTAGAATGAACACATTAATATGCGCATTAACCGCGTGCATTCCAATTGATCGAAATCAATGTTGTTGTTTTTGTTGTTGTTTTGCAGACGATAGATGGGAACTAGTTCTGAGCACGGGCTGAGGACAACGAAGAACTATATGACTTACCGTGAATACACCTTATACTGCATATACATAGCCGCGGGGGGTCTGAGAACGACAAGGTCTATCCAACTCTGATTATCTCATTAGAACTGCTGCAGCCTACAACCTCGTAGCAGCACCCGATAAGAAGTATCAGAAACCAAGCGAAAGTGACGGCCGTTGTCGTAATCATACCTTTGCTCTCTCTATTTTAAGCTCTCAGTGCCCGTAACACTAATCACGAACCTCTGGCAAACAAACAAAAAAAAAAAAAGAAAAAAAAAGAAACAATTAATAAAAAGAGCGGCGCTAATGATGATTAAGCTTGTCGCTCCTTGATTTGCCTCTCGTCGCTTATGCTTATACGACGGTGCTCTAATATAATCGTTGGTAAGGGACCTTGGCGAAATCAATATCTAGCAAGATGAAAAGCAAACCGGTGCGTATTGCGAGTAAGTTGTCCACATTGTTAAAACCTCTGTAAATAGAATTTTGTATCAACTTGCGCTACAATGTTTATAGCTCTTACAATTCAAAAGGAAGCTTCCTATTTGCATTGCTGATACTGTGAATGGCGTTTTTTTTTTATTCGAGCCGCCATGCCCACCTGTTGAACAAGATCGATAGAACAGAGGGCCAGCACGAACAAGAGATTTCCGGTTTTTGCTGTTTTTATCTTACATAATTAAAACAAACTTTAATTAAAACTTCTATTAATCTAGATGCAAAGGGCTCGTTCGGGGGAATAACTTAAGCGGTAAAATATGCATGTTCTCCTCAGCACGTGAATACCTCCAGTATACTGCCTGGGTAATACCCCCTATACTGTCTGAGTAAAAGGCGAAAGAATCGCCTTGCTTACACATTCCGCCAGAAGCAAGATGTTGCGGTAGCTCTTCATTGGATTGATGGGATGCTCGCGTTGGACTCACCGTAGAGGGAGGGGGAAGGGGCGCAAAGAGTTGAGGAGGGAGCTCCAGTGGGGGGTGAGCTAACACTCCCCCCCCCCCCCCCCCCCTCTTCCCTTCTTGCACAAAACCTTGAAGGCTCCCCATCCCGGAAATAAAATATTTGTCAGAAGCTCACTCTTATTTGGTTCCCTCGCTAATCCCTTGCAATTCTGCGGAATAAGTAGAAACGAAAGTGTGCTGCCCCGGGAGAAATACTGTTTGTTTGTAGGAAGCTGCCTGTTAACAAATTCGGTGTGGAAATGGTTCATCTGACTTTTGTTAATGTCGTTGAACTCGTCTTGGGGATTAAAACAGTCGTGGTTGGAATTGTCGTTTGTTGCTTAGGTCTATAGGCCGATCAGTTGACTTATATTACCTTTTGTGATTTTTATTTATTAGGCTAATATCACTTTTTGGTGTCGTAATTTTACTAGCTATAGTTAAATTTGCACGTGTTATTCGTAGCTCCTCCATGTACCGACATGCGAGGAAAAAAGTTGCGTATTAGCAAATTACCTCAAACGGTCGCATTAAGTGCATAAAATGACGTTGCCCAATGCTCTCGTACTCCACACGGCGAGGTTTAGAGAACATGAAAAAGAGTTTGTGTCAGGGCCGAGCCCGGACCTTTTTTTAAAGGTGGCGGGCCAAGCCGGGCCGGGCCTGGGCTTGATTTCAAACACCTATAGGCCAGACTCGGCAAGGTAAATTACCACGACGCCGGGCCCGGACCGTGCCTGGACCTGAAAAAGGGGTCCGTCAGTGACTTGCTTTCCCGAGGAGCTCAGCTGTGCGTGTGCGTGTACGTGCGTGCATGGTGTGCGTGCAGTGGCGGATTCAGAGGAGGGAGGGGTCCGGATGTCCTGACTCCTTTCTTGAATTCTGTATGTGCAAGAATTTAGGACGGGAAAACGGGAAAGGGGGGGGGGGGGAGTTCTTAAACACACAATACGCTGACTCCCCTCTTCCCCCCCTCTCTCTGAAAATACCTGCGTCCATTCCCGTGTGTGTGTGTGTGTGTGTTTGCGCGCGCGAATGTGCGTGTGCGTGTGCGCAGATGCCAGTGTGCGCGTGCACGTGCGTGTGTGAATGTGTGTGTGTGGGGGGGGGGGGGAGGTCCCTCTGCCCCTCCCGGGAAATTTCGGGGTAGCCTTGGGCCCCGAGCCCCCCCAATAGCGCGAAGTGGCCACATACTCCCTCTCGGCGTGCGAAAGCGCCGCCTGAACTCGCTGGGCTCCCTCGCAGCGATCCGGTGTCGGACGCCGCTGCCCCCTGCCAACGGGCGGGTCCTGTACGGAGGCCGGCAGTACCCGGGGGACAGCGTGCAGTACACCTGCAACGCCGGCTACGTCCTCATCGGCGACTCGGTGTCCGTGTGCGAGGCCAACGGGACCTGGTCCAAAGCCGTCCCCAAATGTGAGCTTGCGATCTCAGCCCACACCAGGGATTAGAGCCCGTACGCTAGCATTTTCACGTGACCGCGGTGAGATCGAGTGGAGTTAGAAGTCGGACACGACCGATGTATCAGCGATCGGCTAGTCCTCCTCGTGTCCGGGCAATACGTCGAAGGACGCTCGGCGTCGGGCTCAGGCCCAGTTGCCGAGCTGATGCCATCCGAAGGTGATGATGTCACCTGCCAGTTGAGGAGGCTGTTCATAGGCTTTGACTAATCTGGGTTTTTTTTTTTTTTCAGCTGGACTAAAGCGCTATTATTGCTAGTTAGATCACAATCGACCGTCACAAAACGTTGCCAACTGCGCGCTATAATATATCGGTAATATAGAATGAGTTTTGTAACCACTCAGGGGAATCACCAAAGAACCAGGCGTCTACATTTGTCTACCTCCCACCGCGTTTAATTTTGCTGTCCTATGGCTCTATTTTATGATGCTCTGTGACAGTGGTTCTCAACCATTGATGTTTCGCGGACCCCTTGTAGATCGCCAAAGATAATGGGAGACCCCGTTTGTGATGAGGGGTTGGGAAAGGTATATGTTATGAAGGTATAGGGTTTTTAGGTATAGAGGTATAGGGTTATTAGGGTATAGCACATAGGGAAAGATATAGGTATAAATTAAATCGATATAAGCAAGGACTAGACTTCGCTCATTGACATACACACGAGAAAACTCACTCGAAAATTGAAACGTTTCTTCTCAATTTAAAATAATACAACTTTTATTGCCCGGCTTGAATACCGAGGCAGCTTCGCGGGCCCCCATTTGAGAACAGTGCTCTATGAGATTGGTTTTTCCCTAATCCCGCGTTATCTGTCTCACCTGGCCCGAATAGAATATCCAGGAGATTCATTTATGGGTATATTAACTGGTTTTTACACGCGGTTACTGAATGTACACAGTAGGACACTGTTAGCACGAACAAGCAATCGCCAGTTTCTTCTCTTTTTCCTTCAAAATTAAAAGACTGTGGTGGAAAAGACTAGTGGAAAAGACTAGATTAAAAGACTGTGGTAAAAGACTAGTGTGGTGGAAAATGCTCAATGGGGGTAGTAACATGGGAAGAAATTTTTGATGCGCGCTGACATACTTCGGAAGGAAATTTCGAAAAAAGTGTAGATGTGTTTGCGCGAGAAGTGTCCCTCAGTGTACTACAGGCATCAACATGAATGGTGACAGACTTCCTCGCTCTTTTGACGTTCCTAATTTTTTTCGGAACACGTTATGGGTCCCGGCGAGAACTAGAACTGAAAGCTTAGATCCCAAACTAGGCACTGTTTGACAGGTTTAGGTTCAGCGAAGGTTGTGCCGTGAAAATAAAAAGAAGAAAGACGAACTGTTCTCTTTGATATTGTTGCCGATAGTATATACCAGGGCCAATAAGATGTAAATTATTCTAGGGTTTCTCTTTTTTTTTTTCGTTGGAATTCTTTTTTTATAGTACCTCCCCTATGCGCAGGCAAGCCTGCCTGCGAGTTCCCAGGTCAGCCCGCGCACGCGCGCCTTCTGCCGTCTAAGTTCCACTACGACATCGGCGAGGTGGCGCTGGTGGCCTGCAGCCCGGGCTACCGGCTGCTGGGCTCGGCGCGGCTGCGCTGCTCGCGGGACGGCCACTGGTCCAGTCCGCTGCCCCACTGCCGCCGGCTGCTGGCCGTGCACAAGTAGTACCAGCGGGTGCAAGGGGGCATCATCATCGAGCAGATGGCGCCGCAGCGCCTGCCGCCCTAGCAGCGCTCTCAACGCGGTCGTGCGCAAAGCTTCGCTCGCGAGCAACGCCCGACCCTCTTTGTGCAACACCACCTCGAAGACATGGCCCGCGCGAGACGTCATCGCTATAGCCCCCGATAGAAAAAGAACGGCAGGGATATCCTTCCGTTGTGCCGCCTCTAGCGCGGACTTCCTACCTTCGATAACGCTTCGGCGTCTCGCGGGCCTCGAGAGCGCATGCGCAGCTAAGGCATGGCGAAAGGCAACGAGCGCGTGCTGAAGGCCGGGCGCTCGAAAGGGATGACGCCCCACCCCGGCGTTCTCACTCTGTCAGTGACTGTAGTGGATACCCGAGCCGCTCCAAGCGTCAAATTCACTGAAGCTCGACTAGCCGCAAAGGAGTAGACGCAAGCGTCTTGGCGTGGCCCGGTACTATAGCATCGCGCTGTGTGCGACGCTGCAAGACACGCTGGCGGAGACGCTGACGCGAGTTGGACGGTCCTGAGCGGATCGAGTTCGCGAGGGCCGTGCCTCGTGCGGCCGTTGGAAGGAAGTGGCGGCACGGCGTAGCTCTTAACAACATTAGCGTTGAAATGAGTGGCTCGTGGAACCAAATGGCGGTGGAGCACTCGCTCGTGGAAACCGTGTGGCGCGTTCGCGCAACGGTGGTTGTCGGGACTTGTAAAAAACGCGAAGCGTTGTTTTTTTATCAAACGGTTTTATTGCTACGCACTTTTCTAATGTGTACAAATCACAGCCCAGCGTGCAATCTCGCGCGTGTGCATTGCTTCGGAAAACGAGCAAAGCTCGCACCGAACGCACGAACATTGAAATTGTATTCACCGGAAGCCCGCGGGCGCAGCCATAACTGACCTTCACCTTTCTGTTTTCTTCCATTTACTTCGCTTTATTTTAATATTGTTGTCGCGCGACAGTTCACTGACCTTTTAGACATCATAGCGTCCTCGTCCAGCTTAAGAATGAACGGAATGTAGCAAGCAACCGTGATGTGGCGCACGTGATCTCGAGGCTCGATGACGTTTGCTCCTCTCTGTGGAAGAAATCTCCGTCGTCTGAAAACACCATAAATAGTTCACGAGTATAGGTATAATGGGCTAGAATTGGGAAGTGTGACGATCGCTTTTGCGAAACTAACTCAGTGATTTAGCATGCAGAGCTGTGGTGCGTTATAGCGGGGTGGAGAGCCATCGATAAGTGAAGCTTCTTCATGTTTCAAAAGTAGCGCAAGGTGCGTCGATGCAAGAGGCATGTGCCACGTGCAGCCCTTGGGAAGACCATGACGGCACAGCGCAGCACTGAGCTAGATTTCAGACGCCATGTTCTTCCCAGAAATGGTGCGCGGCGCATGACTCGACCATTTCCATAACAATGAACGGCGCCACGTTTCATAGAGGAGCTTTATCGGTAAGTGAATGGCAGCGCCACCCTGCACTGCGGGTAATAAAAGGTGAACGAGGTACATCAAGGTGCTTCACAAGCCCACCATAACTTCACTGCAGCCTGTCTTCATTGCATCGAGCTCAATGTGCCGTGCCCAATTTCGTTATAACTAGCAAGGAAATATTCATTGGGCAGCACTTCATGATTGTGATCAACGGTGAATACATTTTCTTCTTTAATGTTCACAGTGTGGCGGAGTGCCGTTGATGGGCTGCTGCGGGCATATCAATGCAAACGCTACCTGCTGAACATCCTTGCCATTTTCTCCTGATAGATGAAGCGAGCGATTGTTCAACCTCCCATTCTAGCCCACCATAGTAGACGGAGTATCCACTGGCGGCCATAGCTGTGTGCGCGACTGCTGAGCGCGTGCTGATGGCGAGCTTCCGCAGTTCTTTTGCAACGTGCATTCCACACCATGAAGACTACCGGTTTTAGCAGGCTCTTAATGCGAGCTCGTTCTGAGCATGCGCTCTGAACAGCACCCTCAAATATGGAGTCTAGTGAATACCCCACATAAGAACCGGCGCGGGCCTTGTCTTCTAGATGGTATTGGTTCGTGGCCCTTGCGTAGAACATTGCGAAAGTCGTCGAGCGCGTGGCCGCACCCTTCGTGAACTACCAACATTTTCTCGACGTGACGTCAAACGTTTCGACGAAGCGCAGAACACTGCGTTTGTTCAGCATCATGCAATCAGACGCTTTTGTCCAATCAAATTTTCGGGAGTGGTCGAGTGTGCTAATGTTCTCGGAGTGGAAGGAGGGTACTGGGTGTTGGGTCGGCTCATTAAACTGCCGCCATGTGATGCTGCTGCTGGTGCAGACAGGTCTAGGGGCATAATAGTTTCACTGGTAAAATTCTGCTCTGGTTACAACGAGGAAAAAACAAATCACGTATATAGCACGACCCTGTTAACACAAAAAAGCGATCGCAGTTTTTTTTCCTTTTCTCTTTCCCGTTTTGAATTAAAAAAGTTGCCAAAAAACTACAGATAGGGCGATAATTCCTTACACGGGGCTTTAATTCAAGCGGTTGAGATCGGTTCCAATCAATACGGTGTATGGGCAAGGCGCAGATAAAAAAAATAACATAAAATAAAACAGCCAATATCGTCCATGCTAACAGAGTCGCGCAGTGTTTATGCCCCTCTTTCTCTAGCCCTCACCGGCACGGGGTTATTTCGTGTGACACCGCTTGCACGTACGCCAGTTCGACGCTTGTTGACGTTTCGCTTGCATACAAGTTTGCAAATACAACCTCCGGGCAACGCCACCTTGCTCAGTTCGGGTGCGCTTGATAGCGGTCATAATCCGATTACCACGCCTTAGGAAGGCGTGGTATTCGGATCATGGCCGCGCCCAAGCGCACATCAACTGAGCAAGATGGCAGCCCCCTGAGGCACTACTTCCAAAGTCGTACACGATCTATTGAGTTTACCGTTTGAACTCCAATCGCTCACGTTTGCGTCGCACATGCGCGCATCCGGTTGTACTAACCTAATATTTTCATAGTGGGAATCATCACCTGTCACCTCACGAGGCAGTGGAAGAGAGAGAGAGAGACACTATCAATCTTGAACATAAATTGTAACAATTTGAGGCAATGATTTTGAATTACATAAAGAAAGCGTGTGAAACCAATCTCACACTCGCTGTAAAGCAAAGGGCAGAGAGTGTGCTTTGTGCTTCGATTAATATTTGGCTGCCATTTCGGAAAGTATTATTCCGCGGTACGTCGGTACGGCCACGCTCCAGTCGATACTGAGGGGTGCAAAGGATACAGTTTGTCTAAAAGTTACGAGTAAAAAAAAAGTATGATAGGGGTCACTGCTTTTTTACACAGTTATTTGATCTGCGATGAGTAACTCTGTTCTTTATTTGTTCAGTATACGTTTTATGCTCGTTGCCTGATATGCACTGGTGCTTATAGCCTAACATATTTGCAATGGGTCGATAATATGGCGGTATAGGTAGCCACGGCTCGAGCTTCTTGAGCTGCCGGCGGTGGTGGTGGTTCGTATTATTATAAAACCGAGGGCGTTGGCATTTGCCAGTTGCGAGTAATGATTACGTGCCGAATTGTGAAAACGCTGTTGGATTGTTTTTTTAGGGGAATGGGGGTTACGTTTTATACACGTTGCATCGATGCCTCCAGCAGACAATCGACTGAAATAGGGAATTTACACATGGTACGCCCTCACAAAGTTTTAGCGAAAATAGCAATGTGCAAATACATATGTCTTTTTATTTGTAGAATAGCACGAAGTCGTTTTAAATAGTGGGGATCTACTCACACTATTAAAAAGTGACCGAATTTAAGTCACCTCTTCTTTTTTTTTTTTTTTTTGTGTGTGCAGATATTGGATTGCTGTGCTTCATTCTCGCATTTTTCATTGAAGTTTCTAAAAAGTAACGTTTGAGCTACGGGATGCCTGTGGAGTGATTGTAGATTTTTGCTGAGTTTCGCTCAACCCCCCCCCCCCCCCCCCCCCCCCCCCCCCGCGGAAAAGAAATTATAAAAAAAGTTATGGGAATCTTGAAGAATCCTATGAATTAACCTTGGGCGTTATTTTTTTACTCAGACATACGTATCTTAGGCATCGTGTCACAGGATTCATCGGAGTGTTTTTGAGAAGAATAAAACAGTAGGACGTGCCTATTTGTCTATATAATTCTCCTTTTGTATCTTACTAACACCACCATTTTTGGGATCGTCCAACAATGCCGAATTTGAGCTAACACTAACAGTGCCAGAGAAGTGATACCACCATTTTTGGGATCGTCCTACAATGCTGAATTATGCCTATCACTAACAGGGCCAAAGCAAAAAGGAGAATAATTAACCAGCAGTATTACACAGTAATTGACACTTTTAACTGTTTGGCTAAAATATGAAAAAATCGTGATGACTTGTCCTGAAGCTTTTGGACGATTTTAGCATTTTCTTCAAACCTTTATGTTGACTGAACTAGTTCAGGTTCCTGAATACTTGTCTTTACCTCTGGACAAAACCGTGTGCCCTTGTGTGTGTGTGTGCGTGTTTGATTTATTATTTTTAAATAAATGTTGTGAGTTTTCAGCTTGACCAGAGAATGCGACGTCAGGACTATTTGATTCATTCTACTGTGGTTTCCCGATTCATTCAGCGTCACAATATTCCAAACTATTGTATTTATTTTGTTGTTCAATGTAATTTTATTGTGGCGTAATGTGGCCATGCTTTCATTACATGATGTTTTCAATGTGTTTCACACAATAGTCTAAACACATATAAAAGTAGTTACGTAAGTCCGTCTCTTTCAGAGTAGTGTTTTAAATGCTGCGTTTTTGCACTGAGAGCTTTCTACTTGTAATATTTTTCAGTCAGTGCACAAATATCTTTTGGGCCTTGATCTACGTGAGAGTAAAGAGTTTTGGTCCACTTCTACATGAATTTTGAGATTTTGCTGCAAATAGTGAGCTTTCCAAATGACGTAACCGATGACACTGTTGCTGCA